GTGTGTCTATGGGAATGTTTGACCATTCTTCCAGAAGCGCATTTTTGAGGTCAGGTATTGCTTGCAGTCTCCGCTCTAATTCATCCCAAAGGTGTTCTGTCGGTTTGAGGTCAGGACTCTGTGCAGGCCAGTCAAGTTCCTCCACTCTAAACTTGCTCATCCATGTTTTTATGGACCTTGCTTTGTGCACTGATGTTGGAAGGGGCCATCCCAAAACTGTTCCCACAAAGTTGGGAGCATGAAATTGTTCAAAGTGTCTTGGTATGCTGACGCCTTAAGAGTTCCCTTCACTGGAGCCAAGCCCAACCCCACACCAAAATCCCCCCTCCACCAAACTGTACACTTGGCTCAATGCAGTCAGACAAGAACCGTTCTCCTGGCAACTGCCAAACCCACATACGTCCATTGTACTGCCAGACAGAGAAGCGTGATTGGTCACTCTAGAGAACACGTCTCCACTGCTCTGGAGTCCAGTGGCGGCGTGGTTTACACCACTGTATCAGCCGCTTTGCAGTGCACTTGGTGATGCAAGGCTTGGATGCAGCTGCTTGGCCATGGAAACCCATTCAATGAAGCTCTCTCTGCACTTTTGTTGTGCTAATCTGAAGGCCCCACAAAGTTTGGGGGGTCTTCAGCTATTGTCTCTGCAGACAGTTGACAAGTGTGCTTCAGCATGCGCTGACCCCACTCTGTCATCTTACGTGACCTACCACTTCATGGCTGAGTCGCTGTTTTTCACATTTTGCTTCCACTTTGTTATAATACCACTAACAGTTGATCGTGAAATATTTAGTAGCAAGGAAATTTCACAGCTGGCCTTCTTGCACAGGTGGCAACCTATCACAGTACCACTCTTGAATTCGTGTAGCTCCTGAGACCGACCCATTCTTTCACAATGTTTGGAGAAACAGTCTGCATGCCTAGGTGCTTGATTGTATACACCTGTGGCCATGGAGGTGATTGGAACACCTGAATTCAATGATTTGGAGGGGTGTCCTAATACTTCTGGCAACATAGTGTATATAGCGATGTCAATTTTATGCAGCACATAATGTCCATTCACATCAATCCCTGCCCTCAAGGAGTTTACAATCTAAGGTCTCTAACTTACTTTCACACATACTAGGGCTAATTTAGATAGGAACCAATTGACCTACCAGCATGTCTTTGGAGTGCAGGAGGAAACCCACGCAGGCACAGAAGAATATTCAAACTCCATGTAGGTAGTGCCGTGATTGGGATTCAAACCGATAACCCTAATGCTGCTAGGTGGAAGTGCAACCACTTAGCCACTGTGCTGCATGAACAGGACACACAACAGCCTCACATCATCAGGGGGTGTCAGTTTGAACTTGGAAGAGGAAGCCAAGCTCCCAATGACATCAGAGAAGAAAATGATGCTGAGACCTACAGTGGATATAAAAAGTCTACACACCCGTTAAAATGTCAGGTTTCTGTGATGTAAAAAAATTAGACAAAGATAAATCATTTCCGAACTTTTTCCACCTTAATGTGACCTATAAACTGTACAATTCAATTGAAAAGCAAACTGAAATCTTTTTTTTTTTGGGGGGGGGGGGGGGGGAGTAAACCTAAAATAATGTGGTTGCTTAAGTGTACACAACCTCTTATAACTGGGGATGTAGCTGTGTTGAGAATTAAGCAATTACATTCAAAATCATGTTAAATAGGAGTCGGTACACACCTGCCATCATTTTTAAAGTGCCTCTGCTTAACCCCAAATAAAGTTCAGCTGTTCTAGTAGGTCTTTCCTGACATTTTCTCAGTCGCATCCTACAGCAAAAGCCATGGTCGGTCTGCATAGAGGGATCTCATTCTTAAGTTATCAGTCAGAAGGGTACAAAATAATTTCCAAGGCATTAGATATGCTCCACTGTAACACAGTAAAGACAGTCAACTTCAAGTAGAGAAAATACGGCGCAACAGTGACATTACCAGGAACTGGACGTCCCTCCAAAATTGATGAAAAGAAGAGAAGAAAACTGGTCTGGGAGGCTGCTAAGAGGCCTACAGCAACATTAAAGGAGCTGCAGGAATATCTGGCAAGTACTGGCTGTGTGGTACATGTGACAAATCTCCCATATGCTTAATTTGTCTGGGCTATGGGGCAGAGTGGCAAGACGGAAGCCTTTTCTTACGAAGAAAAACATCCAAGCCCGGCTAAAGTCATCTGATGTCTCCCAGAAGCATGTGGGAAAATGTATTATGGTCTGGTGAAACCAAGGTTGAACTTTTTGGCCATAATTCCAAAAGATATGTTTGGCTCACAAACACTGCACATCACCAAAAGAACACCATACCCACAGTAAAGAATGGTGGTGGCAGCATCATGCTTTGGGGCTGTGTTTCTTCAGCTGGAACTGGGGCCTTAGTCAAGAAAGAGAGGAAATTATGAACAGTTCCAAATACCAGTCAATATTGGCACAAAACCTTCAGGCTTCTGCTAAAAAGCTGAACATTAAGAGGAACTTCATCTTTCAACATGACAACGACCCAAAACATGCATGCAAATCAACAAATGAATGGCTTCACCAGAAGATGATTAAAGTTTTCGAATGGCCCAGCCAGAGCCCAGACCTGAATCCGATCAAAAATCTTTGGGGTGATCTGAAGAGGGCTGTGCACAGGAGATGCCCTCGCAATCTGACAGATTTGGAGTGTTTTTGCAAGGAAGAGTGGGCAAATATTGCCAAGTCAAGATGTGCCATGCTGATAGGCTCATACCCAAAAAGACTGGAGTGCTGGAATAAAATTAAAAGGTGTTTCAACAAAGTATTGGTTTAAGGGTGTGCACACTTATGCAACCATATTTTAGTTTTTTATTTTTACTTCCCTCCATCTAAAAGATTTCAGTTTGTTGTTCAATTGAGTTATACAGTTTATAGGTTACATTAAAGGTGGAAAAAGTTCTGAAATGATTTATCTTAGCCTCATTTTGTTTACATCACCGAAACCTGACATTTTAACTGGGGTGTGTAGACATTTTTATATCCATTGTAGGTTGTGTCACCTGAGCAGCAGGTCACAGCAGGACAATGCTGGATTCTCTGGGCAGGTGAGTATGTAAATCAAAAACAACTCGGCATAACAGGTAAGTGGGAAAGGAATGGGTTAAAAAAAAAAAAAGCATGGGGAGAGTGAATGCCTGTACATGGTTAGTTAGAAAAATATTGACCATATAACTACTTTCATATTTCATACACCCACTTTGCTGATATTTATTTTCACGTAGCACACTGCTTGGTTCTGTTTATTAATTTAAGGGATACAGTTTGATTTAGTGTCGTCTGGGTGTAAAATCTGATAGGTTTGATGTACTGTAGGGGTCCTTTGTGGGAAGAATTTGATATTCTGTTGACTGTTAGTTTGGTTAAGTCAACAATAAGACAATAAAACAAGTCTTTGTTCATCTAGCCAAATCTATCTGTACCACAGTCATCGCTCCATGGGTGCAAGTATTACTGTAACAGGCAAAAAAGTTAAACAATCTCTTTTTCAAGTCTGAACTACTTATGAGGTTTCTGTTTTTGTTTGTGCTTTTTCTTTTTACTGAAAATGAACTTTAAAGAGAACCTATTAGGATTTTACCAAAGAACACAGCACTTGAAGCTGCCTTTTTTCTGGAGTGGCGATTGTTTCAGATCCAATGTTTGATGCTTCAGACATGTGCTTTGTCCAGGAACAGGCATTACTTATGTAAGAGCTGGTGGCTATGACAGATAACAGCTGTCCCACCAGATTCCCTTTAGGGTCATTTGTACTGTTGCGTTGTAGTACAAGCGGCAATTGACAATACATGCGTTGGTGTGATGTGTTGCCATTTTATCCTGAATGGAACCCCAGTGCAAGTAGATATGTGATGATCCATCAATCCACTAACCTTTTATTTATTTATTTTAGGTACTTATATAGCACAGTCAATTTACACAGCGCTTCACATATATATATATATTGTGCATTCACATCTGTCCCTAACCCTAAAGGGGGCGTACAATCTAAGGTCCTTAACTCACATTCATACATACACATACTAGGGCCAATTTAGACAGGATCCAATTAACCTATCAGCATGTCTTTGGAGTGTAGGAGGAAACCGGAGTATCCTGAGGAAACCCACGCAGGCACAGGGAGAACATGCAAACTCCAGGCAGGTGGTGCCGTGGTTTGGATTCGAACCAACGACCTTAGTACTGCCAGGTGGTAGTGCTAACCACTTAGCCACTGTGATGACCTTTTGTAGCATATTATTTTTTTATGAAGCAAAAAATTAAACCTTGGTAATTGTACCACTCCATAGATTATTTGAATCTCAGCTGAGTTTTGAACCATCTATGGGCAGGCTGATTGTACCCAGTTCAATTGTACAACTTGGGTACAACCAGCATGTTGGCTTGTTCATGTGATTTATTTCCAGAGGCTATAGCTGCTACCAATAATCGCTGTGTTCTCCTTTCAGAGACTGCTCCCCCCCCACTCCCCTGGTGGGTTGAACACAATAGCTGCACGGGAGGGATTCCTCCATCAACACTGACTGTGAAAGAAAATCGCATGGTCTATAGCTGCCTTTACCAAGGTCACTGTGCCTTATCACAATCTGATTGATCTACTTATGGTTTTAATCCAATGCATTGTTTTTACTTGTTTTACTTGTCTGCTGATGACATGAGTGCCTGCAGACTCTCGGTCCATTGTATTAATACCTAGGGATTGTCACTTTTCTGTGTTTAGGTTGTGCTCCATGTTTGTTCACCATTTTTCATTTTTGATGGTGCGAGGGCTCCTGCTTTTCAAGTATAAGTAGGGAAACCACAAGAAAGGGTCAATTTTTTTTTTTTTTTTTTTTTTTTTTTTTTTTTTTTTTAGTCAAATCTGGAAACCCTTTTTTTTAGAATTGCATCCTAATACTGTGGTTCAGCAAAACTTGCATAGTCATGTAAATTGTTTCCTTTTTAGGATAAGCAGCAGACAAATCTTTAAAGATGGGGGAACTTTTCAGGAGTGAAGAGATGACACTGGCACAGCTTTTTCTCCAGTCTGAAGCTGCCTACTGTTGTGTCAGTGAACTGGGCGAGCTGGGAAAAGTGCAGTTCCGAGATGTAAGTATTTTTTAATCAGTTGTTATAATCAGAAAAAAACTTTTTATAATGTAAAAGCTTCATAATTGCCTTTTTGTTATGCCCTCTACATAATGACTTGTCTTTAAAAAAAAAAAAAAAAAGGAACAGCTCTCAATAGTCAATTGATGCTTCACACTACTTTGGAATATGTAAAGGAAAAACATTTCCTGTTACTCATAGTGATGAGTGATAAATTGCTTTTATTGTCATTGTGCTTGCTAGGAGGATGATCTTAAATGAAAAGCTTTATTGGGAGAAAGTATTTTTCATGCAATAAAATGCTGTCATCCTGTTGGTGAACTTCAAAAGCCCGTGAGATATAAATGGGTTTCCAGTTGTAGGTATGTGAAAAGTGTTATACTATGTCCACTGCTGAAATGGAAATAAAGTTTAATTTGTCTATTTAAACAAGTCATCACTCCGTTGTCAAAAACTGGTAATGGGAGGAAGTCGCAGCTCCAGACAACATGAATCCTTGTCACCATGCATAACATCTGTAGCTGCTTAGTTGATTTCTGTGTAGTCCTAATAATCAGCCAATGAACATGTTTCAATGCAGCTTTTCAGGATCATAGTCATGGTTTTGAGCTGCCAAATAAAGCCCTTTTTAGTTTTCAACATTTTGAAACCATTCCTAGGACATTTTGATGTTTGTCTTGGTGTATCTCAGCCAGCCATGTTTAAAGTGATACTAAAGCTAAACACATTTTTTTACCTTTAGTACATTCCTTGTGTTAAGGTAAATGTTTTATATTCATCTGTCCTCTCCCTTCCCTGTGTGAAGAGGAAGAGAGGGCAGAATAAATCCAATACTGTGCATGGCAGCATCTAATCTCCCTTCTCTTCCTCTTCACACAGGACTCAGAACAGCAGCAGGAGCTATTGGCTCCTGCTGCTGTCAATCAAATGCAGTGAGGAGGAAGTGGGGGCAAGGCTAAGCCCGGGAGCAAGCGAACACCGTGTGCCCCTATAGCAAACGGCTTGCTATGGAGATACACGTTTAAAAGGAGGAGCCAAGATTGCCGCCCTGAGAAGAGGAGGATTGCGGCTGCTCTGTGCAATACCACTGCACAGAGCAGATGAGTATAACATGTTTTAATAGGTGTGTTTTTTTTTTTTTTTTTTTTTTTTTTTTTTTTTTTTTTTCCTTTTTATTAAAATAATAAAGTACCTTTTGTGTCCCAAATATGTTACAGTATCTCCTGAGTTGGTCTCTACAACTATATATATTTATATAAAAAAAAGATATATACTTTAGATACATTGATAAAGGATTCAACTTCTGGCAGCTTTTAAATGTTATCTTTGTCCCCACTGGGGATAATTCTCCTCACTCAGTTATTTCTACAACAAGTTGCCTGGTCAAAGGCAAACTTCTACAGTAGAGACACAAAAATTACATACAGAAAATTTTTTTTAGTTTTTAATAGCTTCACTCTGTTTCTTTAAAATACTCCGTACATATAGTCCCCATAAATACTTTTACCTTTTTTTTTTTTAGCATCATATTCAGATGCACTGAGTTTAGAGTCAACAAGGGTAAAACTGGGTATTCACATTTTTTCCTTTCAATTACCAGGTTGAAAGAAAAAAAAAAAAAATATGTGTGATGCGGGGATCTCTCCTGCTAAGGTATTGTACTCTGATGGGGGGGGATTTCCCTTACCCCCCCCCCCCCCAATCCCCCAATCAGATTACACTGATCAGCGCTCGCAGAAATTGGCTGCAAGTGCTGATCAAATACTGGTTTTAAAGCAAGACTGTTTGACAGTAGCAGGTTGTTAGACCGACTTCTGGTGAACAGACAACGGTACACGTACTAAAATTGTGTGAACATTCAGCGCAGTCATACTACAAGTGTTAATTTAATCCCAGACCGATAAGTTATTTAAAATGCTGCTAAATGTAAAAAATATTATTCCTGCTCAACCGGCCAACTTTTAGTATGTGTTTACCAAGCTTAAGTAATGACTAGTAATGATCAGACTACATAATGAAAGTCTTTGCCCTCTCTGGGAAACACACATTTAAAAGTTGCTCGAGGATGTGCTCTTTCACACTGCCTTAGACAGAACAGTAGTACAGTGGGAGCAATGCAGGGAACCATGGGAGATGTAATTTTGCAATTAGCAAGAAGCTGGAGAAGGATGTTCGTTATAAATAAATTGTTTCACTGATATCAGTAGATGTAACATTCAACGCTTTCAGTATGTATTTTTCTGTTCTGCTTCCTTCTATTTTTTTCTAAAATATAGTGCACTCAGATTATGCAGACCCCCTTCACATTTTTCAGTTTTGTTAATCTGAAGCCTGATACTACTTTTGCAAGCTCCAAGCGGACTTTAAAGTGTTTTGCACTGAATAAAGGATTCCATCTAGCCATTCTGCGACAAAGCCCAAATCGGTGCAGGGCTGCAGTGATGGTTTTCCTTCTGGAACTTTGTCCCATCTCCACACAGGATCACTAGAGCCCAGTCAGAGTGACCATCGGGTTCTTGGTCACCTCTCATACTAAGGCCTTTATCCCCCTGATTGCTCAGTTTGGCTGGGCGAACTGCCTTTGGAAGAGTTCTGGTTGTGCTAGACTTCTTCCATTTGAGAATTATGGAAGCCACTGTGACCTTGTGATCTTGGGAACCTTCAGTGCAGTACAATTTTTTTTTTTTTTTTTTTTTTTTTTGTAGCCTTCCCCAGATCTGTGCCTTGTAGTAATCCTGTCTCTGAGTTCTGGAGGCAGCTCCATTGACCTTGTGGAGTTTGCTCTTATACACTATGCAATGTCATCTGTGAGGCCTTTTATAGAGAGGTGTGTGACTTTCCAAATCATGTCCAATCAATTTAATTTAGCACAGGAGGACTCCAATCAAGGTGTAGAAACATCTCAGCAACAATCAAGAAAAATGGGAGGCACCTGAACTAAATTTCAAGTGTTGTTGAAAAGGGTCTGAATACTTATACCAATGTGATATTTCAGTCTTTCCCTCTTCATAAATTTGAAAACATTTATAAAATTCTGTTTTCACTTTGTCATTATGGGGTGCCGAGCGTAGATTAATGAGAACAAAAAATTAAGTTAAAATGTAGTATCAGACTGCAACATAAAATTGAAAAAGTGAAGGAGTCTGAATATTTTATGAATGCATTGCATATTAACTTTAAGATCTGTTTTCTCCATGTCATATTTTTTTTTTCTTTATTTTTGTCAGTTGAATCCTGATGTCAATGTTTTCCAAAGGAAATTTGTCAATGAGGTTAGAAGATGCGAAGAAATGGATCGAAAATTACGTAAGTTTTAGATCTGTTTGGCTTTTCCTAAGTACAGAGGGACCACTCTAACTACCTAACCACCCTGCTTCTTTAATGGCAGCAATAATAGTGTACTCTGGCCTTGTACACTAAAATTACTAAATTCCTTGGCACATAGCCCTAGTAAACAATATTGTGCACTTATCCATTCCATTCTGATAATCTGAGATCTCTGCCGCAAATAGATCAGTTGCCTCCTCTTTATTGCCTAGTAGGACTGAAGAAAGTTATTAAACTGTTTTATTTAGCCGACACAATTGTCCAACCAGCAGTGATGTATTTATTCCTTGTGCTGCCCTAGGCAACACTAAAATTGGGGGCTCCCCACAGCCCCAGTATTTGAGCAGCATTGACAAGGATCAAATTGTAATGGCTAGACGGCTGGGTGGGAGCATCTCCAGAACGGCAGATCTTGTGGGATGTGTGCAGCAGTCAGGACCTACCAAAAGTGGTTCTAAAGAAGGAAAACTGGTGACAAGGTCATGGGCAGCCAAAGTGCATTGATTCACAAGGGGAGCGAAGACTGACTCACGTACTCCAATCCACTACAAAAGCTACTGTAGCTCAAATTGCTGAAAATGTTACTGCTGGTTCCAATTGAGAGCTGTCAGAACACACCGTGCATTGCAGTTTGTTGCATTTATGGCTGCGTAGCCACAGACCAATCAGGGTGCCCATGGGGATCCGTGTCCACAGCCAAAAATGCCTACAGTGAGCATCAGATATGGACCATGGAGCAATGAAAGGTGCTGACTTGACCTCCAATTTCTCCTGATTTAAATCCAATGGAGTATCTGTGTTGGAAAAAACAAGTCCGATACATGGAGGCCCAACCTTGCAACTTACAGGACTTAAAGGATCTGCTACTGACGGCTTGGTGCCAGGTACCACAGCATACCTTCAGAGGAAAGGGAAAACATTACAAGTAAGCATTTTAAATGCTTAATTTTATGTACCTATACCTGCAATTATTTAGATTAGTGACAAGGGTCTCTTTAAACTGCATGTAGACCCTAAATGTATTTTTGAGTGGGTTTGGGATCCAGTTTTCTTAGAGACATTGTCGTCATCAAGCACTTTTCAAGCTGCTCACATAAAAGTGTTTTTTTTTTTTTTTTGTTTTTTTTTATAAGACCGCATCAGCAAGTGTAAATTGTAAACTATTACTTTTTGTCAATGTAGCTTTCTTCAATGTGATAATTCTGTTCAGCCCTCACTTTGCTCTCTGCCCCCTCCTGGCCCAACATGGAATTTGGCTGCTGCCTGTGAAGGCTCCAGTGCTGTGAATGATAGCAAGGACCGCTCTGAGATTTCATTGCCTGTACTAAGCAACTGAACTCGCTGCTGTCACTGATAATGTGCAGGCACTCTCCCAAATGCACCTTCAGGCGTTGGAAACAGGCTGCAGCTGAACACTTGGTGACATCAGAGCCAGTACAGGCATACTACACAAAGCCTCTGACACTCAAAGTTTACAAGGGTGAAGAAACCACAGAAACACAATGAATTGCGTTACCAAGGGCAGCATCAGTGAATTCCAGTTTCAAACATTTTATGTATGTAAGCAGTCTGAAAAGTGTTACCAGATGACCCTATATCTTTTAGCTAATCCTTTTTTTTTTTTTTTTTTTTTTTTTTCTGAAATCTACTGCAAAATCTTCTGCCTGTAGAACCTAACCCTAACAGGACTACCTTTTGCAGGCTGAGAGTGCTAAGCCCCTACCTCATAATTTCCAGCAATATTGTCAGCCTGCCATTTCTTCTCCTTCATGGCATCCGGCGGCATATTTACTGCAAGGCAAACAAGGCATTTGCCTTGGGCAGCAATTTTTAGGGGGGCAGCACCACCTCTGGAAGAAGTGGCTGGGACGGGGACCTGGTGAGGAGGCTGCACGCTGCTGGAGGGGATGGTTGGCTGTTTCTTGTGCAGGTTAATTCTGGGGGGGGGGCACTGCTAGTGGGGGGCGCTTGATTCTTGTGTTGCCTAGGGCACAGGAAATGAATACACCACTGGTGGCATCCTGTTGCTAATGGTGAGGCAGTGTGTTAGCATTTTTAGTTTGTAATTGTCAGCATTTCTGGGTAAGACATGTGCAAGTGACGAATTTCAGCGAAATCTGAAACAAATTATTCAAATTCGAAAATAAATTTGAATTAAAAAAGGAAACCTATTGAAATAAGTACAGTAAGGTATACAAAAAGAAATATGATTTTTACTTAGGCTGCTTTATAGATTAGAAAAAAATAGAATAGAAAATAAAGGAATAGAAATTTTGAATATACCAAATCCAAAAATATACGAAAACAGAAAACAAATCATTCTAATATAATTATATATGATGAAACAAAATTATTAACATAAAAAAAAAAAGACACAAAACTAATTTTTTCATCGTGCACACCTCTAAACTGTGCTACAGTTCCCAAAAAACTATATACTTTGGAAACCTGTATACAGGGAGACATGATGTCAAATATACTAATTCACATGATGTCAAATATACTAATTCACAATTTTTGGATTTACATAAATTTGATTGTGGACAGGCACAAAGCCGAATTATTCGAGATTGCTAGTCTAGTAAAGTGCTGATTTGCTTAATTCTGCATCTGGAAAGAATCAGTAGTTGTTATATTTACATAAAGCACCTCTTTAAAAGTGTACTGTGTTACCAATATACAGTGGCAAAGATAAGTATTTGATCCCCTGCAGATTTTTTAAGTTTACCCTATAATTTTTATTATAGATGTATTTTAAATGATAGAGACAGAATCTCAGCCAAAAATCCAGAAAAAACACGTGATACAAATGTTATAAATTAAGTTGCAGTTCAGTGAGTAAAAATTGGATCTTTTTCTACAAACTTATCTGTAAAATCCATTTCTTGGAGTGCATCACGGGACACCGAGCAGGCTATTCATGACTATGTAGGTTATAGGCCGCCTATAGGTGAATGGACACTGGCCGACCAATCAGAGAGGAGGTCCTCCCCTATAAAACCCCTCCTACACAGGAAGTACTTCAGTTTTTATAGCAAGCAATGAAATTCCAGAAAGAGGGGCGAGACCTCTGTGCCCCGTGATGTACTCAAAGAAATGGATTTTCCATGCAAGTATGTGGAAAAAGTCCAGTTTTCTTTATCGTACATCACGGGACAAAGAGCAGGTTATTCAGACTGTGGATGTCCCAAAGAAATTTGAGGGGAGGGTGAAACCATGATAGCCACCATCAATAATTTCTCAGGACTTACTCGGCCGCCTGTAAAACACTGCGACCAAAGGCAGAATCCTCTGTGGCTCTGACATTGACCTGGTAGAACCTTGTGAATGTGTGAACCGAAGACCATGTAGCAGCCTTGCAAACCTGGGCCACTGACGCCTGATGGCAGATTGCCCAAGATGCCCCCACACTCCTGGTAGAGTGTGCCTTCACCCAAAAGGGTGGGACCTTACCTTTCAAACCATAGGCTTGAATGATCAATTGGTGGATCCAATGTGGAATAGGCACCTTGGATGCCACCTGTCCCTTCCTAGGCCCCTCTGGCAGCACAAATAGAGCATCTGACATCCTGACCTGTGCTGTCACCTTCAAGAAGATCCCTACAGCACGTACCACATCCAAGGTATGCAGAGATCCTTCTCTTGCTGACTGAGGCCTAAGGAAAGAATGAAGGCAAGACTACATCCTGATTGAGATGAAAACTAGAAACCACCTTTGGTAAAAAGCATGGATGAGGTCGCAAAACCACCTTATGATGCAAAACCAGAAATGGTTCTCTGCAAAATATAGCTACCAGGTCCGACAACCTTCTTGCAGAAGTTATTGCCACTAGAAACAACACCTTACGTGTCAACAGGACCAGTGAAAGCTCTCCAATAGGTTCAAAATGGTAGTTTTTGCAAAACCTCTAAAACCAAGTTCAGATCCCAAGGATACAAAGGCAACCTGACAGGAGGAGCAATACGCATCACTGCCTGTAAAAAAAAAAAAAGTGAGAACCAAAGAGTGAGACACAATGGGCCAATTTCTTCTGGAAGAAATGACAGAATCCTACCAATCACTTACGGTACTTTAGTGGGTGCCATTTGTGAACCTCACACCAAAAAATGAAAGCCTTCCCGTTCTGTAATAAATGTTCCTAGAAATTACCTTTCTAGCACCCAATACGATAGGGATGACAGAATCTGACGCTCCCCTATCCTTCAGGACCTGGGTTTCAATAGCCACGCCATCAAATTTAGCGACCGTAAAAATGGGTGCAATATAGGACCTTTGAAAAACAGGTCTGGCCGATGCGGCAGGGACCATGGCCCGTCTACTGCCATCTTCACTATGTCCTCATACCAGGCCCTTCATGGTCAGGCCGGAGCAATCCGTATCACTGGAATAGACTCCTCCCAAATCCTGCATAAGAGGCACGGCAGCAGCTGGATCGGAGGAAAGGCATAAATCGGTGAAAACTGGTTCCAAGGAATCACTAAGGCATCAACCCCTGCTGTACGAGGGTCTCTTACCCTGGACAAAAAAAGACTGACCTTGTTGTTAAACATGGATGCCAATAGATCTATGCCCGGGCAACCCCATCGCTAGCAGATTCCCATGAAAACCTCAGGATGCAAAGCCCATTCTCATGGAATCAACCGCCAATCACTGAGATCATCCTGCCAATTTTCGACGCCTGAAATGAACACTACTGACAAACGTAGAACATATCTCTCTGCCCAGGTCAGAATGTAGTTGACTTCCTTCTGAGCACCTCGACTCCTGGTACTAACCTGGTGGTTGATGTATGCCTCCGCTGTGGCATTGTCGGACTGAATCCTTACAGGCCAACCCTAAAGCCTGGATGTCCAATATCTCAGAGCCAGGCTCACTGTTTGAAGCTCCAGGACATTGATGGGTAGAACCCTTTCCTGTGGAAGCCATGTTCCTTGAACCGTGGCCTCCTCCAGGACAGCCCTCCAACCTGAAAGGCTGGCATCGGTGGTTACCAACTTCCACACCGCTGGCTAAAAGGATCTTCCTCTCTCCAAATTGTGAGTCATCAACCACCAATTCAGGCTTCGCTTTACCTCTGGAGGCAGAGATATGCAGTAATCCAGGCCCGGAATCTTCTTGTTCCAAACAGTCAAAACTTACCTTTTGTAGAAGTCTGGAGTGGAATTAGGCATAGGGAATAGCCTCGAACGGGGATACCATTTTTTTTCTAGCAACCTCATACAGAGGCGAATTGAAGGATACCTTTTGGCCTTCAAACTGCAAACTTTGTTCCTCAAGGCGCAATGTTTCCCTGGAGGCAGAAATACTTTTGTCTGAACTGTGTCTAGGACCATCCCCAAATACTTCAGGCTCTGCACTGGCTCCTGAAAAAAGAGAAATAATAATCAGCGCAAATACTGGGACCAAGTCCGGAACAGTCTGATAAGTAAAGATGCCTTCTCTCTGCTTGACAAAGGAGCGTGCTTCCGCCACTAGAGGCCAGCACATGCTCTGAAACGCATCGCATTGCATCCTGGTCACTGACGTCATCACGCCCACTCCGGAGGTGCGCTCCAGCGTGCGTTCCAGCTGCCATTGAGGAGTAAGTGTACGCCGGCCGGCTCCACAGCTGTCTCTCTCCTGCTACCACGCTGCTTCAGTGAGATGCGGATACAGTGGGCACCAGTGACAGCCGTTCTACCTGGTGTTCAACACCTTACATTTAACATGCCTGTATTAATCTACCTACATGTGAGTGTTCCTACTTTTATGCTATATTAAAGTGGCCTGCTGCACTTAGAGGTGCTTCTCTTCTCTCCTTTCTGCACTGCCTCCTAGCAGACTTCTTGAAGTTGAGTACCCAGACCAGCTGTTCCAGGGTCTGCATCGTAAGGACCACATCCTGCTTCAGACCTGGCACTGACCGACCGCTGAGCAAGAGATCATTTAGATAACCCATGATTGATTAAAAAAATCCCCAAGCAAAACATGGCTTAGTACTTGGTGGAGAAACCCTTGCTGGCAAGTGCAGAGGTAAGACGTTTCTTGTGGTTTTTTTTTTTACCAGGTTTGCACACATCTCAGGAGGGATTTTGGTCCAATCTTCTTTACAGATCTTCTCTAAATCTTTAAGGATTCTTGGTTGTCGCCTGGCAACTTAAAGTTTCAGCTCCCTCTATGAATTTTCTATAGGATTAAGATCTGGAGACTGGCTGGGTCATTGTCATGCTGGAAGACCTATCCACGACCCATTTTTAGTGTTCTGGCTGAGGGAAAAAGGTTCTCATCCAAGATTTTACAATACAGGGCCCTATTCATTGGCCCCTCAATGAGGCAAAGTCAACTTGCACCTTTTAGCAGAGAAACTGCCCCAAAGCATAATGTTTCCACCTCTGTGCTTGACTTTAGGGATGGTGTTGTTAATGGTCATTGTAAGCATTTTTCTTCCTCCAAACAATGCAAGTCAAGTTAATACCAAAGAGCTCAATTTGGTCTCATAACTTTCTCTTAATCCTTCTTTAAATCATTTAGATGTTCATTGGCAAACTTCAAATGGGCCTGTACATGTGCCTTCTTGAGAGGGATCTTGCAGGTGCTGCATAATTTCAATCCATGGCGGCATATTGTGTTACCAATGGTTTGTTTGTTGACTGTGGTCCCAACTGCCTTGAGATCATTCACAAGCTCCTCCTGTGTAGTTCTGGGCTGATCCCTCACTTTTCTCATGATTATCCTTACCCCATGACGCAAAATCTTGCATGGAGCTCCAGACCGAGGGCAAGTGATGGTTATTTTGTATTTCTTCCATTTGCAAATAATTGCTCCAACAGCTGTCACCTTCTCACCAAATGTCTTGCTGATGGTCTTGTAGCCCATTCCAGCCTTGTACAGGTCTACAGTCTTGTCCCTGACCTCCTTTGATAGCTCTTTGGTCTTTGCCCATGGTGGTGAGGTTTAAATGGAAAAAACAGATTCTGTGGACAGGTGTCTTTTTTTATACACATAACGAGTTGTCATTAGGAGCACCTTTTTAAATTGACAGAACTAATCTGTGTAGCACATGAGCACGTAGCCAGTCTGTGGGAGCCAGAATTATTGTTGGTTGGTAAATACTTATTTTACTCACTGAACTGCAACTCAATTTGTAACATTTTGTATCGTGTGTTTTTCCCGGACTTTTGGTTGATATTCTGTCTTTATCATTTAAAATACACCTATGATAAAGAAAAATGATAGACCCTTCATTTCTTTGTAAGTGGGCAAATCTGCAGGGGATCAAATATTGTTGCTACTGTACCATATATTTTTAAAATATTTAAATCCCAGTGGGGTTGAAGATGGCTATAAAAACATGAAAAAAATGTTGGCTATACACCACTCCAAAACCCCTCAGTGTTGTCTGGAGTTAGGCTTCAAGTCCATAAGAGGGGAAAATAAGCTGCAGGGAAAGTGCTAACAATTAAATTTAGAGCTAGTTCACACCACATGCATTCCAGTGCTTTCTTTTTTGCTTCCAAAACTCATAGAAAGTGGGTTACATGGTTTTCAATAACATAGTTCATACCAGTGCTTGCAATTCCAGAAAAAAAACATAGAATCTGCTGCATTTTTCTTACACAGAACTGTACTGAAATGCAGTAAAATTAATAAAAAATGCACTGGAAGACACTTAAACACATCAAAACCACATTGAAAACGCAATGGACCCCAGTACTGTGAAAAAAAAAAATCACAAAATAGAAGCAAAAAAGCATCTAGAATGCATCCGGAAACGCAGAAATCATCAAAAATGCGTTTAAAAAGCGCATGCAGAAATGCTTCCGGAATAGATGTGGAGTGTGTTTTTGTGGCGTGAACCAGCCCTTAGTGTTTTCCACAGGTTCTTATTTTACATCACAGTCATATGTCACCAGATTTCAAGATGTAAAGTTCCACTTAAAGTGTGTAGGCAAAATAAAAAAAAAAACCCCGCAGTATATCTTTCCAGTACATGTACATTACCCCATGGTTTGTCCCTTTTAAGAGATATAGGTACAGAAAAATACCTTGTGATTTGCCAGAAATGCTGTTGTCTCTTAAACCCTGTTGTGGACTAACACACATTTTTGTGGACTGAATGGTGTCAGCCCTGCCCAGTGTCTTTTGCTAAACTATCTCAGATCTCTACAATATAACACTAATAAATCTGTAATCTGATATATGAAATCAGGGAGCTCTTTAACTACCTGCCGACCGCAGATAGCCGAATGACGGCTGCACTGCGGCCGGCCAGTTCTGAGTGGACGTCATATGACGTCCTCCCAGAACGCGCTCTCCTGCGCGCCCCAGGGGGCGCGCACCCGGCGATCTCCGTGATCGCTGTGTCCTACGGACACAGCTGATCACGTGATGTGGTAAAAGGCCAATCACAGCGGCCTTTTACCACTTGATCAGCGGTGTCCAATGACACGCTGATCAGAGGGAAATGCAAGTGCCGGTTCTCGGCTGCACTTTCCTCACGCTGTCAGATCGTGAGGAAAGTACTGCCGAGAACCGGCAGTTGTCAGAGCGGGGATCGGCGCCGATCATCAGGGCACTGATGATCAGTGCCCAGATGATCGGTGCCCAGCAGTGCCACCCGCAAGTTCCGCCCACCTGTGCCCAGCAGTGCGCCCACTAATTCCGCCCACCTGTGCCCAGCAGTGCACCCACCTGTGCCACTCTGCAGTGTCACCTACCTGTGCCCAGCAGTGCCACCCACCTGTGCCCACCCACCAGTGCTGCCCACCAGTGCCACCCACCAGTACAGCCAGTCAGTGCCACCAGTCAGTGCCCAGGGGTTGTGCCAGTCAGTGCCGCCAGTCAGTGCCCAGCAGTGATGCCAGTCAGTGCCGTCTATCAGTACCCATCATCAGTGTCACCTATCAGTGCTGCCTATCCGTGACACCTCATTAGTACTGCCTATCAGTGCCCATCAGTGCCGCCTATCAGTGCCCATCAGTGCTGCCTCATCAACGCACATCAGTGAAGGAGAAAAAATACCTGTTTGAAAAATTTTATAATAGAAACCAAGAAACTTTTTTTTTTTTTTTTTTTTTCAAATTTTTTGCATTTTTTTTTTTTTATAGCGCAAAAAGTAAAGCGCCCAGTGGCGATTAAATACCACCAAAAGAAAGCTCTATTTGTGAGAAAAAAATGATCAAAATTTCATATGGGTACAATGTTGCATGACCGCGCAATTGTCAATCAAAGTGCGGCAGCGCTGAAAGCTGAAAATTGGCCTGGTAAATAAGGGGGTATAAGTGCCTGGTAGGCAAGTGGTTAAGATAACACACAAAGTGTGCACAGGACACAGGACCGCTCCGAATTTCTAATAAAATCAACAGTTTTTGTTTTTTTTTGTCCGACAAAACTTCTTCTAATGGCATATTTAATGGATCAAAAGTGAGCAAATGCAAAGTTCTTAAGAATTTGCATACACATTATTAGCTTGAAGGTCTGTCCTTAGGACAGAATGTACCATTTTATCACGTTTATTAATTCCCTTCTGTCAAAAGCAGGCTAAGATAGACTTGTACTGTTTACCAATTTCACTAAGGTCCTTGTTTTAGAGATGTCTAAAAGTACAATGATTGTAATGATATCATTTTATAGGGTTTGTGGAGAAAGAGATAAAGAAGGCAAATATCCCCATTCTTGACACTGGTGAGAACCCAGAAGTACCCTTTCCAAGGGACATGATTGACCTTGAGGTGAGTTTAAGTTTTTAATAGGTCTGCATTTTTATAGTATGTTAATCAATGTGGAAAATTGTTAAGATTGGCAAGTTTGATATGGGGAGAGAGAGAAGCCAAATAAGGACAGAATGCTTATAAAAAGAACTGTGGACACCTAAAATGCTTCTAAACCTTTATCAATCCAGCGCTGTACACTTCTGTAAGTCTTCTCTCCTCTCTCCGGTCTCTCACAGGCTTGGCAGTATGAGCCATTGGCTCCTGCTGCTGTCAGTCAAATCCACAGAGCTGGGGCGGGACCAAGCCACGCTATGTGTGTCAATAGACACCCTCAGCCCAGCTCAGGATCGAGCCCACGTGTGCCACCATAGGAAGTAGCTTCCTATGGTGGAACATGTAGAGGAGGAGGAGCCTAGAAGAACATCAGGGGACCCTAGAAGAAGAGGTTTAGGGCTGTTCTGCACAAAAAAATTTTTTTTGAAAAAAAATAAAAAAAAAAAAAAAACTTTACAACAGTTTTTTTTTTTTTTTTTTTTTTAAATATTTACATATTCTGGACAAGCAGAAAATGTGCTTTAAAGGACAATGAAACCTCCAAATCCTTGTGCTTATGCAGTTTGGGCCTATATTTATCTTTAGCCTCTACCCAGTTATTTTATTGTCTAAATGGACTGGACCGCCCGTCTTTATTTTGCACGTGTGCTATGGCCCTATTCATTTTTATGGGTAGCCATTCTCATGGGCAGCCTTCAGCTGTTTTGCTCTATCTCTCCTATAAGAATGAACGGGCCATAGTGGGCATGTGCAAAATGAAGACGGGCCAGCCAGGTCTAAAACAGAAGTAAGAGCACTTGATTCAACCTGGTGCTGGTCCTTCAGCTCCTTTCACCAATCCGGGAGATCAAAAGCTGATACAAGAGAAAAGTTGAACAATGGCACAGGAATTGGAGTTGAAAGCTGAGTACATTTATTTGGACTAGAACAATTACACACTTACACAGAAGTAGCTTGTTTCCATCATGGATAACATCCACAGAGTATGGTGTACAGGGGATCACAGGATGACAGCTGCTCAGTAGCACTGGATCAGCTACGTTCACATTGTCTGTGGACTCACATTGCGTAGTAAACGGTGCTACATGGGCATGGAAATGCATTTCAAGGAAAACATCATCTTTTGTCAAGCCTGCCATCGACTGTAACTTGGAAGTTTTAAACAGGATAATTATTGAGCAGTGCAGTGTGGTTTTAATGTAGGGCTTGGCCAGCAGACATAGTAGCAACTACAAGCAGACTACAGGGCAGAATTCAGAACAACCTAAAATACTATCGTACACATACATCTATACATCGAATGACTATGATGGTCCTAGAAAAAACCTAAATGTAAATATCCTTTATAAAAAAAAAGTGGAATATAGGCAATCACATATAAAATAATGCAATCTACTTCCAGGTTGTATTGTCAAAAATACTTTAACGAGCTGTTCAAAGTTAAAAGCTGATTGGCTACTATGCACAGCTGCACCAAATCCTGAGTGCACTAGTTTTAGTAAATTTCCATAACTGTGTGGGGGGGAAAAAAAAAAGTTAAGATATAACAACGTTTCTTTTGTCCTCTGATGCACAGTAAGAAAATGGTTCCAAAAAATATTTATACAGCAAAGAAACCTTTGTTACAATCTATTTAACTATGCAACCCAGTGGAGGTTTGTGTTTTAAGGGCCTATTCACAATATCTGCAGTTAACTGCATTTTTCCTTATGGCTAAAAGCAGAAATCAGAGTGTTGTGCAGCAATCGCCGCAGGTAATCCTTGTCTGTGCGAACAGCCGCAAATAGATGTGGCCACTGGTGACCTGTCATTATAAGGGCTCGTTCACACTAGGCTGTTTTGCCAACGCTTGCCAAACGCCCCTATAGCGTTTGGCAAGCGTTGGTCCGGTGTTTGCGGAGCGTTTTTAACGCTCGGCAAACGCTCCGCAAACGCCGCATGCACGGTTTAGCGGCGGTTGCGAGGCGTTTGCCGAGCGTTAATAACGCCCCACAAACGCCTATAATGCATTTGAGTGGTGTTACCGCTCCGCAAACGCCCTGCAACCGCGTCGCAACCGCACCGCAAACGCCGGCTGGGCGTTTGCGGAGCGGCACCATACACGAGAATAGGAGGCTTCAAAGCCTCCTGACTCGACCAGAGGCGTCCGTTTTGCCGCGACGCAACGCGACGCAAACGCTCCTGTTAGAACAGCACCATGTGCTGTAATGTGCAGAGTTGGCAGAGGCGTTTGGGAAGCGGTAAAAACGCTTCCCAAACGCCTCTCTGCCGCCTGCACACAAGGCTAGTGTGAACGTAGCCTAATGAACAGGGTCGACAGCCGCACTGGGATTTGCACTGCACCATACAATTTTCCTGCGGTCGCATTTTCTGAAAATGGGCATGGACCTTTTTTCAGTGGGTACAGCAGCTCATTCAAATGAATGGGGTAATGTGCACTAGTAGCGCAGATGCAGGGAAACTGTATGTGAACCAGGGCTTAGGCTAGGTTCACACTAATGCGGTGCGGTACATCGCATGTGATTCACAGGACATTTTTGTATGGCTCAAATTGCACTGCACCCGGAAAAAGGTGCAGGACCCCTTTTTGGGTCTACGCTAGAATCGTATCGCATGGGTATTCACACCTATGCGATCCGATTCTGCACATCGCACCACGTTTTGCGGATCGATTTGGGGGTGTTGTTAACATACACACCCACATCGGTTTGCATGAACGGGGTGCAATTCTGATGCGGTGCGGAATTCGCACAGAAAATGCTGCAAATTCTGCACTGCATCAGTGTGAACCCAGCCTTAAAGTGGTAGTATCCACAGCTTAAAAAAAAAAAATCCTCTGCAAGGTAATGTCTTAATGCGCTAGTATGCATCACATAGTAGTACATTATGAAGGAAGGACTTGCCTTAAAACGAAGCCCTCAAGCGGCACGCTGTCACTGCTGCAGAGGCTTCCATCTTTACCTGGTCTTGCTTCTGGAAGCGCGCAGAGTCTCGGGCCACAGGACAGCTGAATGCACCAGTTCTAAAAAAGAGCAAATATCTCCAAAACTGTGCACGTTTGGAGATATTCATTTTACCTACAGGTAGGCTTTATCATAAGCTTACTTGCAGGTAAAACTTTACAACCACTTTAAGGTGTGCAGGTTACAGCAGGAGCAGTCTTGGGTGCTGTTAAAAGTGTTACTGTTGCTACTATATTTCTTTTGGTCTAATGAAAATATTTCAGTGTTTTTTATGAAATGTTTCAGAAAAACTGTAAGCGCTACATAAAGGAGTAATATTAAGGCAGCATGTTTATTCCATAGTTACTAACAATACTGGTCTGTAGTTTAGTTTTTTTTTTCTTTTTAATAATACCATCGTTGTCTGTTCAACTAACAGGCCAATTTTGAGAAGATTGAGAATGAGCTGAAAGAGATTAATACAAATCAAGAGGCGCTGAAGAGAAATTTCCTGGAGCTGACGGAGTTGAAATACATTCTGCGCAAAACTCAGCAGTTTTTTTTGATGAGGTCAGCGTTTTTGTCTCCTAATTTAGTAACTTACTGTACACCAGAACAATTGAAAACGAGTATATGAAATATGCAAGTTTTTCCTGAACTACAAATTATTCATGTAGGATTGCAGCTGCTTGTTATATTGTGTCCTGATCTTTAGCACTTACTGCTTTCTTTTTGTCCTAGACTTTGATTTCTCATAAGGTCATTTGTGTTAGATTAGAAGTGCTAAAGCTGACAGAGGATTAATGAATCATCTTTATATATCTGTGTACTTGATACAGTGCGATAAAGAATTAAACAATCAAGTGTTCACAAATATGTTGGGACAGAATTGCACTGGTTTTAGCTTAATTACTATTTATGTTAAAATATTTGCTAGTTTTTACTTATGTATATTTCCAGGTCGCTGTGTCAGCTTTGCTCATGTACTAAAACCAGAGTCAAGAAAATAGAAGCTGTAGCAGTGCATGTGCCCTTAGCAGACAACTTGAAATTTTAAACTTCATTGGTTGCCAGGGACAACTGCTCCAGTTTTCTTTGCTCTAGTTTTTGTGACTCCACACTAGCGTTGTCTGCTCCAGTCGCACTTTTTTCTTTATGTCTTCTGCTTTTTTCCTGTGGTCTTGATGAGTGTTTCTTTTGTTTTTTCTTCAATCCAATTTTTTTTTTTTACTACTGATATGTTACTACTTTTTCATCTTGCACTATTGAAATTTTGGTTCCACTATTGTAACTTTTTTTTTGTTTTTTTGTGGGTTTTTTTTACCTCACTTCATGTTTCCTTCCACCTGGTCATTTCATGTACCCTTGTTTTTATTGACTGCATCTTATTTTTCTAGCTTTCCCACCTCCCATTCTTTTTTTTTTTTTTTTTGCCTATCTCTGTCATTGCCTGTGGTCTGTTTTATCAACTCACTGTCTGCATTTTTTTTTTTTTCATTTTGTATCTTGCTTTATTTTTTAATTTTTTTTTTTTTTTCTCCTTTCTGGATATCCACGTTCGCTTTAATCACCTGCTATCTCTGCCAGATTCCTTCCAATCACCCTCTTTGGTGCCTGCTTACTGATTTTACTCTCCCATTTTTTTGCTTCCTTCCCTATGTCTACATACAACATATCTCAACATATAAGAGTTGATATACTTAAACTGGAGAGTGAAAAAATCTGGTGCAGCTGTGCATGGTAGACAATCGGCTTCTAATGCAGGCCATAGACGGGGAGAAAAACTGCAGATTTTTCTTTTAAAAAACGAAAAATCGGTCATTAAAGCGGCCGACGTTACCATCAATGGTAAAAAAAAAATCGGCCGATTTTCATCCCGTCTACAGCCGGCAAAAAGTGTCCCTGCAGAGAGCTCCGCTATTTCTTTGACAGTTCTTTGACAGTTCCTTGACATTTACAGCGGTTGCAACATTGTATCTATTTGTTTCCATTTAGGATACAGATGTTTTTATTCGGAAACAAATAGATACAATGTTGCAAAGGGACACTTTTTGCTGGACTGGAATTCCTCTTATTTTTCATCCTACTTCTTCTTCTTTTTCTTCTTCTTCATCATCATCCTCTTCTTCTTCTTCTTCTTCTTCTTCATCATCATCATCCTCTTCTTCTTCATCATCATCCTCTTCTTCTTCATCATCATCCTCTTCTTCACCATCCTCTTCTTCATCATCCTCCTCTTCTTCTTCACCATCATCATCCTCATCTCTTCTTCACCATCCCTCCTCTTCCTCCTCTTCCTCCTCTCCTCCTCTCTCTTCTCTTCCTCCTCCTCTTCCTCCTCTTCCTCCTCTTCTTCCTCCTCTTCCTCCTCTTCCTCCTCTTCTTCCTCCTCTTCCTCCTCTTCCTCCTCTTCCTCCTCTTCCTCTTCCTCCTCCTCTTCCTCCTCCTCCTCCTCCTCTTCCTCCTCTTCCTCCTCTTCCTCCTCTTCTTCCTCCTCTTCCTCCTCTTCTTCCTCCTCTTCTTCCTCCTCTTCTTCCTCCTCTTCCTCCTCTTCCTCCTCTTCCTCCTCCTCTTCCTCCTCTTCCTCCTCTTCTTCCTCCTCTTCCCTGCTCATGCGCAGATTTTTTTTATCGGTAAAATCGGCCTTTTTTTCCAACTTTACCGATAAAAAAAAATCTGCCAAAATAGCCCACTAACGATCCGAAAATCGGCCGAAAAATCGGCCCGATTTTCGACCCATCTATGGCCTGCATAACTTCAGCTTGTTCAATTAAACTTTGACAAAAAAAACAAAACTGGTAGCTGATTGGTTTCTATGCAGCGCTTAAATTAACCCCATAATGTCTTGTATTCTCATTTTCATTGTTATTGCACAATTTCTTTTTGTTCATGCATTACTGACTTTTTACTTTCTCCACAGCTTTTCATGCTTACATTGTTGGGTTTTATTTTTGTTTTAAAGGGTCAGTCCACCAAAACTGTCATTTAAAGCTTATGGTTGAATCCAGAAAGTTTAACTTCCAAACATTATTTTGTATATCTCTTAGAGCAAGATACCTGTGATTGTTGACCGTTTTGCACACTAGTTATAGTCATCACATCAGGATACTGCTAACCTACTTGAACTTGAGAATGCAAAGGAATAAAGAAGCAAGGAAAGAACTAAACCCATTGCAATCTCCAAAGTAGCTGTAGACCCAGATAGTTTTCCCCTGTCTAAAATATAGGGCATACCACCAGCAATTAATTTATAGAGGAAACACCCCTTTCACACAAGCTCTCTGATCGGGTCGGCCTGTCTGTTTTTTAGGTAGACCCTCCGTTCTTCTCTATGGGCAGTCGGATGTAAACAGACTTGTGTCCATTTACACCTTGCTACCTCTGCTTCGATCCAGCAAAAATAAATGGAAGGGGATCTGTTCCTTTTCTTCTGATCGGATCAGAGGGCAGTCAAGTGTAAATGGACAGCTGGTCTGTTTGCGTCTGACTGCCTATAGAGCAGAGCGGGCTGCGTCCATGTGAGCTCAGTATAAGCAGTGCGTACGTGGACCTGTCATCCAGCTGCTCCACTCAGCTCAGCAGCAGATCAGTGGAGAGATCCCCCGCTGAGCAAAACTTATCCGGGCCATGTGAAAGGGGCCTTTTCGTAATACCTTTTTGATCTTTCGCCTCTGGGGTCATATGACTTTTTTTGTGTTTTTTCTTCACCTCCGCTCAATCCAGGTTGGGCTGGGTTCAGTTGGATCAGGTCACACATCCTGGTGGCGTAGCTACGGCTTTTTTTCAATTCCCCCCTCACAGGCCATGCAGAGTGAAGTGGAGCTGTCAGGCAAGTATTTTTTGCCTGCAGGGTGAATCAGTAGCTCAACCAACTGCTCCTTTCCACTCTACATGGCCTGGGGGGGGCGGAAAAAAAGCTGAAGCAACATCACTACTACATGTAAACCCCTTTGGCTTAGTTAGCCCTCTGACCTGGGCTTTGCTAATGTAGCCAGTAAAATTCACAGTAAGCAGGGAGTAGACAGAAGAAGTAGCAAATGAACGGAGGCATGCACACTGGAGAGACTTTAAGAGCCTACAGCTCATTACCACCAAGAACAGGGAACAAGTGCTGCCAGAATCAACAGGTGGTAGCGATTCCTGTGATACACACAGCTGTACTATCTTGGTAACCACGTGTCTCTTCCTGGTTTAACATTACAACTACCTGGGTCAGCTCCCAGCTAGCTGGACAGACTTTATCCTGTAGTTGGGCTGCAACAAAGCTTAACCAGGATGCTGGATCTGTAAAGATTGGCTGACCAGAATTAAAAAAAAAAAAAAAAAAAAAAATTTTTGCAGGTAAGATTGTACACATATATACTGTATGTAGTTGGCTGTATCTTTAGCTGTTTGCCTGGAGTTTCACTTTAAGTGTATCAAGTGTAGCTATAGGTCAGAACAAAAGGTAAGGAGAAGTCTTTTAATGGGGACACCTATTTTAAGGGACAAATGTCTAAAGCAGGCTATAGATGATTCGACTCCCCCATCAACATACTCTGTGTTGATGGAGCAATCTCTCCAGCGGCGCTATTGTATTCAGACAGCGGGGAGATTTCCCCACTATCAGAATACAGTGAACAATGTTGCTGGCTATAGCCAGTGACACTGATTGACGGAAAAAACCCTACGGGCTGGTTTTACAGAAGTCGAACGACAGATCAACTTCTGTACAACCAGCCTGCCCAATCCAAATTTCAATCCGCTAGGTGAAGAAGGCTATTCTTTTGGACATTTCCTCTAACTTCCTGTTGTGTCTCTGGGACAGGAGATGAAGAAAAAGTTCCCCAGTGGTACAAAACAGCTAAGATATAATCTGAATGACAGGGGTTTATCCCTTCCATACTCAATCCAATATGAAGAAAAAAATGGATATACATTGGCTTTAAACTCGCATCTAACATTTTGATGGACTGACTTGTAATATTTAGGTTAGGCACATTTGTGGGGGTTTAATGTTCTTGCTTTCATGTTTCGGAGATTGCTAATCTTAGTTGTATTATAGGGAGGTTTAAACATGGTGGGTGTGTTTTAACTTCATGTAAGGTAAGTGCAGAATGAACACCCACCAACCCCCTCTTTGCTAATGGCTGTGTAAGATTTCCTGAATGTTGCTCAGTTTTAGGATAATGCTTTTATATGTGTAGCAGGTTGAGATCTGTAAGAAGTATTAAGGTTTGTTAATAGATTACTATTTTGATTGGTGTGCAGATCAGGCCAATCAAAATAGATTGTGTTGCTTTTGAGGAAGAGGTTAATGGCATGCAGGTGGCATTATGGCTTCACCACTAACACCCCTTTCCCCCTCACTGCTTCATCCTTGTTTTTCTGTGTGTTGCTTCTAATAAAGCAGTTCAGTTAATCAGTTTAAAATGAAGGCTGCATCCTTATAACTCTTTTTTTTTTTTCTTTTTTCTTTTTTTTTGGCAGTTTTTTTTTTTGCAGTCTTTTTTTTTTTTTTTAATGGACAAAAGTGATATTTAATCACAGGTCCGAGATCTTGGACAATCCCAATGCAGAAAGCACAGAAT